AGCCTTCTAAGTAGCCGGAATTACAGGCATGCGCTACCACGCCCGGCTGATTTTTTTGATCTATTGTAGAGATAAGGTCTCACCACCCAGGCGGGTCTCGAACCCGCAGGGTCAGGCAATCCACTCACCTCAGCCTCCCAAAGGCGCGGGATTACAGACTGAGCCACCGAGCCAAGCCCGGCTTCTTTTTCCTTTTTTAAGTAAGAGTTTTCATGAGCATTTGCTTGTTCCTCCAGCTGACCAGTTTGTTAAAGTCAGCAACAAGATCATCTCGGAGACACTGATTTCTAGTTGATTAATTGGGAGTACAAGTTAACTAGAGATTTCCAGCCCCCCAAAAAATTCTTCAGCTAATTTAATTTTTTTCCAGTAGAGTTTTCATTTTAAGTGTTCTCTCACATGATACTATAGTACACCTAATCATTCTTTTTCTTTCCTTCTGTAGCATTACCAGGAATGTGACAAGGGTGAGGTACGTTGGAGCTGATTTCTAAGCATGAGCGCCTTTTATTTGCAAATTTTTGTTGCTATTTGGGTCTCTTTAGAGGAAAAACCCACCAGTTAGTTTCCCTTTAATTTCAATAAGCGTTAGCATATGGGTGGCCACCAGTTTAGGCATTTCTGTTTGTTTATTTATTTATTTTTTGATTCGGAGTCTTACTGTGTCACCCAGGCTGGAGTACAGTGGCATGCTCACGCCTACGACAGCCTCGACCTGATGGGCTTAGGCATCCTTCCACCTCAGCCTTCGAAGTAGGTGGTACTACAGGCATGCATCGCCATGCCCAGTGAATTTTGGGGGTTTGTTTTGTTTTGTTTTTTGGTAGAGATGAGGTCTCACCAAGTTGCCCAGGCTGGCCCCGAACCCCTGGGCTCAGGCAGTCCTCTCTACTCCACCTCCCAAAGTGCTGGGCTTAGAGGGGTGAGCCACCACACCCAGCCAGGACACTTCTGTTTAAAATCTTCAAGATCTTTGTCTTCTTCAATTTTGATTTCCAGGAGTTAGGACCTGGAAATGTACAGAAAGAAGGCTCATCTTCATTTGACCGAGTTATCAAGGAGGTAAGAGATGAATTATGTATCCTGCACTAATTCCCTAGATCAGACTGTGATGTGGCACTGTGGAATCAGGATCATCAGGACTGTTTGTTCAGTGTCTATCCTCAAATGAAATTAAACTTTCAATATAATTTGTGCTTTACTCTGTGTATAACACAAAGAGAGAGGAGTAGTACTTGCTCTCCAGCATAGATGCATTTCAAAAAGCTCATTTTGTCCACTCATTCCATCTTTAAAAGGCAAGAGATTTCTACTGAAATAGAATTTTTCTAATATCATTATTGAAATAACTTGTCTAATTGTCATTAATGGAGTTAGAGTTTTCCAGGAAATGCTGCCTTCTGAAATATCTATTCCAAAACAAGCATTTTTTATTTTTTATTTTTTGAGTTGGAGTCTTACTGTCGCCCAGACTGGAGTGCAGTGGCCGCTCCTGGCCACCGCAGCCTCAACCTGTTGGGCTCTGGCGATCCTTCTGCCTCAGCCTTCCGAGAGTAGCCAGAATTACAGGTGCATGCTACCACGCCCGGCTAATTTTTTTATTTATTGTAGAGATGAGGTCTCGCCAAGTTGCCCAGGTAGGTCTCGAACCCACAGGCTCAGGCAATCCACTCACCTCAGCCTCCCAAAGTGTGGGGTTACAGGCTGAGCCACCGAGCCCAGCTATTTTTTAAATTTTCTTTTCTTTTCTTTTTTTTTTTGAGTTGGAGTCTCACTCTGTCGCCCAGACTGGAGTGCAGTGGCCGCTCCCGGCCACCACAGCCTCGACCTGCTGGGCTCTGGTGATCCTTCCGTGCAGCCTTCCGAGTAGCCAGAATTACAGGCGTGCGCTACCACGCCCGGCTGATTTTTTGATTTATTGTAGAGATGAGGTCTCGCTGCCCGGGTGGGTCTCGAACCCGTGGGCTCAGGCAATCCGCTCACCTCAGCCTCCCAAAGGCACGGGATTAGAGGCTGAGCCACCGAGCCCGGCTATTTTTTAAATTTTCAAACGAAGTTTATTATAGAAGGAAAAGAGGAAAGATAGAAGAAACTGCCAAAATGAACATTATTAAAGGTCTAGACACCCGGATAAACCAGGCCTGTTTTTTTGTACGTTTTCATGAAATGAATTTGTTGAAAAGGGTATGCATATGTTAATAGAAATTTAGTATTTTCTTTATTTTATTTTGTTTTTCTTTCTTTCTTTCTTTCTTTTTTGAGTTGGAGTCTCTGTTTCCCACTCAGGCGATCCTTCCACTTCAGCCTTCTGCTTCAGCCTTCCTGGAACTATAGGCACACACCACCAGGCTAATTTTTTGATTGATTGTAGAGACGAGTTCTCACCAAGTTGCCCAGGCTGGTCTCGAACCCCAGGATTCAGGCAGTCCTCTCACTCAGCTTCCCAAAGTGTTGGAATTACAGGCTTGGGCCACCGCACCCAGCCAAAACTTTGTATTTTCTTAACCATAGACCATCCAGTCCCATAGGATCTTCCCAGAACTACCATTGGTAGAAGGGGTGAGGGATTTCTGAACTCAGTGACTACTGATATCATTTAAATGCAGGACTAATGACAGACCTGCTACATTTACAACCCCAAGACCTAACTCCAAGAATTATAATTTGATTTTCTTTATTACCTCTGTACAAAGCCCAAGACTAGAAAGCTAATTAGGATAAACACAGCAGCACTAAGATACTGCACAGCTATTGGGTTATGGCCACAAAAGAAATCAGAGTTGTTCTCTTTTCCCAGAGATATTGGTGAAGATTAAATGGAGCCTGCCATTTGTCTAGCATAGATATCAGAGTCTCTCTGAACTCCCTTGCAATAAGAGAGCAACTTGATCATCTAATTATAGGCTTCATAGTTTATTTCCGCTTAGTGACCATCTGTTGGTGACCCTTCCTGGTTTGAAAAATAATTGGGAAAATAACAGAAATCTGCTTTGCAGGGAAATTTTGAGACATGACTATAACAACATTGAAATCCGTGAAAGGTATAACAGAATGGGAGCTAATATGTCGGACTCAAACTGCTCTTCCTGACTCTTATCCTGTACTACAATATCCATCTATGTTCCTTCTCACAGGATGTTTTAAATTTTTTCATTTATTCTTATTTTTAAATTAAAAGGCCAGGCTCAGTGGCCAAGCCTGTAATCCCAGCACTTTGGGAGACCGAGGTGAGTGGATTACCTGACACTGCGGGTTTGAGACCAGCCTGGGCAACTTGGCGAGACTTCGTCTTGACAGTAAATCAAAAAATTAGCTGGGCGTGGTGATGCATGCCAGTAGTTCTGGCTTCTTGGAAGGCTGAGGCGTAAGGATTGCTTGAGCCCAGCAGGCCGATGCTGGGGTGTTCATGAGTGTGCCACTGCATTCTAGCCTGGGCGACAGAGTGAGACTCCAACTAAAAAAAATTAATTAATTTAAAAAAGGTTTATTTTGACTCAGGGTCACTTTGTTGCCCAGGCTGGAGTCTAGTGGCATGACACGATTCACTGCAGTCTCCACCTCCTGGACTCAGATAGCCCTTCCATGACTGCAGGTGTCAGCCACCACACCTGGCTTTTTTTTGTTGTTGTTGTTGTTTTTGAGAGAGAAGGTCTCTCTGTGTTGCCCAGGCTGGTCTTGAACTCCTGGGCTCAAGCAATCCGCTCACCTTGGCCTCCAAAAGTTCTGGGATTATTGGTGTGAGCCACTGCCGCTGTCCTTTCACAGGAATTTGAGTGTCATTTCTTTAGATTTCAGAAGTGTGTTTTGATTGTTTCTAGACAACTCGAGAGATGATTGCTCGTTCTGCTGCTACCCTGATCACACATCCCTTCCACGGTATGTTTGCAGTTGACAACTGATTTCTCTTTCTTTTATAACTTCATCTCTCTTCACCACTTAGATAGGTTGACATGGGAGTTGACTAATGTGCCTTACCTGCTGGTTTTTCTTTGCTTGTTTTGGCTTTTATCGAGTTTATCCAGGTAGCAAAATATCTTTAGTTGGAAAGACTTTCTTTTTACATGGTTTTCAAAATCTATCTCAACATAGTTTTAAATTTTTTTGTCTGTTTTTCACAGTGATTACTCTGAGATCTATGGTACAATTCATTGGCAGAGAATCCAAGTACTGGTAAGTGTTTTTGTTCTGACATACTCAAGGAGTGCTGTTGAAGTCAAAGTGCTAGAATACTACTTTGTTTTTTTGTTCGTTTGTTTGTGTTTTGAGTCGGAATCTCATTCCATTGCCTAGACTAGAGTGCAGTGGCATGTTCATGGCCATCGCAACCTCGACCTGCTGGGCTCTGGCGATTCTTCTGCCTCAGCCTTCCAAGTAGCTGGAATTACAGGCACATGCCACCACATCCACCTAATTTTTCGATTTATTATAGAGATGAGGTCTCGCTAAGTTCCCCAGATTTGTCTTGAACCCATGAGCTCAGGCAATCCTCTCACCTCAGCATCCCAAAGTGCTGGGATTATAGGCATGAGCAGTCACTCCTGGCCTTACTTTGCATTTTTATGATGCCTTAGCATTTGCAGAAAAAATTCATCTCCTATATTATTTGATCTGCATAAAACCCAGAAAAATAAGAGAAAACAGGCCCAGACAGGCTTAGGGGACTGCTCGAGAAGTCAGTAGGTTGCTGAGCCACTGAAGCCAAATTCACCCTGACTTCGTGTGACTGTGCCCCGGGGGTTAATATCTTCACTTCTGTCTCTAAATTTAGCTCTCCACAGAGTGAAAGGGTGCTAGGAAAGTGTAAGGGATGGGGATTGTCAGTTTGACCTTGTCAAAAGTGATCACTGAAATTGGTTACTCCAGAATAATCTCACTATATTTCACCTTTCCTTACATACCTAGTGGACTCTGTGACTCCATAGTAACCATCTACCGGGAAGAGGGCATTCTAGGATTTTTTGCGTGAGTAAATGTTGATTTGTGTGTATGTCATTTTTTTATGTGAGTGGAAAACTTTCCTGAAAATTAAGGACAGTGAATCTTTGTTGAATCCCTAGGGAAAATGTACCCCCAGGTTTATTTTACATTAAGCTCTGGTCAGTCCTCTTCTGACTTGAATATTGTTGTAAAGGTCCCAAACCTTCACTTCTACATATTTAAAACGTTTAAAATGAGGATATTTTTTTTTTAGTTAGAGTCTCACTGTCACCCAGGCTAGAGTACAGTGACTTACTCATGGCCATCCCAGCACTGACCTGCTGGGCTCCAGTGATTCTTCTTCTTCAGCCTTCTAAGAGCTGGAACTGCAGGCAGGTGCCACCACGCCCAGCTAATTTTTTTTTTTTTTGGGATTGGAGTCTCACTGCATCGCTCAGGCTGGAATGCAGTGGCACACCCACAGTCACCACAGCCTCGACCTGCTGGGCTCAGGCAATCCTTCCGCCTCAGCCTTCCAAGTAGCCGGAACTACAGGTGCATGCTACTGCGCCCCGCTAAATTTTTTTTTTTTTTTTTTGTAGAGACGTGGGCTTAGGCAAGCCACTCACCTCAGCCTCACAAAGTGCTGGGATTACAGGCTGAGCCACTGAGCTTGACCAGGAATTTGTTTTTTAACAAATAAATTAATTCCAAATTTTGACTCTTACAGTAAGTTCCCAATTATATAAGGTTATTAAAATGAGAAAAAGTAGTTTTTGAAATGGGGGGAGGAGAAACATGGGGACTTCAACCTAAACTGTATTTTCTTTATCCTGAGAGAATAAGTTTTCGCAAGGTTTGAACTGATATTGGAAAAAACTTAGAACACTGTCCTCATTTCTCTATTAGCACAAATTTTGCATTATCAACTACATGGTCCTTTTTAATATTTAGTGTTTCTTTATACCTTATTTGTTTGTTTTGTTTTGAGTCAGAGTCTGACTCTGTTTCCCAGACTGGAGTTCAGTGGCACATTCAAGGCCACTGCAGCCACAACCTGTTGGGCTCAGGTGATCCTTCCACCCCAGCTTTCCAAGTAGCTGGAGACAAAGGTGCACACCACCACACCCAGCCGATTTTTTTTTTTTTTTTTTTTTTGTGGAGACAAGGTCTCACCAAGTTGCTCAGGCTGGTCTCAAACCCCTGGGCTCAGGCAATCCTCTTGCCTTCACCTCCCAAAGTGCTGGGATTCCAGACATGAGCCACCATGTCCAGCTATTTCTTTTTTTTCTTTTTTTTTTTTGAGTTGGAGTCTCACTGTGTCGCCCAGACTGGAGTGCAGTGGCCTCTCCCGGCCACCGCAGCCTTGACCTGCTGGGCTCCGGCGATCTTTCCGCCTCAGTCTTCCAAGGAGCTGGAACTACAGGCGCGCGCTACCACGCCTGGCTCATTTTCTATTTATTGTAGAGATGAGGTCTCGCCAAGCTGCCCCCAAGCAGGTCTTGAACCCGCGGGCTCAGGCAATCCACTCACCTCAGCCTCCCAAGGCGCAGGATTACAGGCTGAGCCACTGAGCCCGGCTCAGCTATTTCTATATACTTGATTTTGAGTGTCATAAATACTCTAGGAGATAGGACGCTATCATTTGTCTCATTTAGAGATTTTAAAACTTTTTTTTTTTGAGTTGGAGTCTCACTTTGTGACCTAGGTGGAGTGTCATGACACATTTATGGCATCCCAGCATTGACCTGCTGGTCTCTGGCAATCCTTCCACCTCAGCCTTCCAAATAGCTGGAACTACAGGCGTTCATTCACTATCACACCCGGCTAATTTTTTATTAATTGTAGACACGAGGTCTCACCAAGTTGCAAGGGCTGGTCTTGAACCCACAGGCTCAGGCAGTCCACTCTCCTTGGCCTCCCAAAGTGCTGGGATTACTGACTGAGCCACTGAGCCCTGCTTTTTGTTTTCTTTTTTTTGTTTTCTTTTTTTTGAGTTGATATCTCACTCTGTCTCCCAGGCTAGAGTACAGTGACATGGTCACAACTCATCACAGCCTTGAGCTCCTAGGCTCAGACCATCCTTCTGCCTCAGCCTCCCAAGTAGTTGGGAGTTGGGGTATGTGCGCGCCACTATACCTGGCTAATTTTTATTTGTTGCAGCGCTGAGGTCTCACTATGTTGCCCAGGCTGGTCTCAAATTCCTGGGCTCGAGTGATGTTCCTTTCTTGGCTTCCCAAAGTGTTTACAGGCATGAGCTACAGTGTCTGACCAAAACATGTATTTTGATGCTTCTCATCTGTATCTGTGCTTGGACCATTCTTGCTTTTATTGTTCTCATGTTTTGCCCTCCTAAATTTTAATATTGGATAGCTTAGCAAAACCGTATTTAAATTTCTGTCCAGCCAGGTTCGGTGGCTCAGCCTGTAATCCCAGCACTTTGGGAGACTGAGGTGAGTGGATTGCCTGAGCCTGCAGGTTCGAGACCCGCCTGGGCAACTTGGTGAGACCTCATCTCTACAATACAATCAAAAAGTAACTGGGCGTGGTAGCGCGCGCCTGTAGTTCCAGCTACTTGGAAGGCTGAGGTAGAAGGATCACCGGAGCCCAGTAGGTCGAGGCTGCAGTGGCCGGGAGTGGCCACTGCACTCCAGTGTGGGTGACAGAGTGAGACTCCAACTCAAAAAAAAAAAAAAATTTCTCTCCAAAGTACCTCACAAATATTTTGCCTCTCTCCTTATTGTTATTAAGAGTAAGATGAGCCATTGAGTGTAGGTCAAGGAGGTATAGGACCTACATTTTATTTTATTTTATTTATTAATTTTTTTTTTTTTGAGCCAGAGTCTCATTCTGTCGTCCAGACTGGAGTGCAGTGGCCACATCCGGCCACCGCAACCTCGACCTGCTGGGCTCTGGCAATCCTTCTGCCTCAGCCTTCCAAGTAGCTGGAACTACAGGTGCGCGCTACCACGCCCGGCTAATTTTTTTGATCTGTTGTAGAGATGAGGCTTGCCAAGTTGCCCAGGTGGGTCTCGAACCCGCGGGCTCAGGCAATCCACTCACCTCAGCCTCCCAAGGTGCGCAGGATTACAGGCTGAGCCACCGAAGCTGGCTGTGACCTGCATTTTAAACATGAGAACAAAAGTCATTAAAGATCAACCTCAAGCATAGCAACGTTATCTAGAATGAACTAGATATGAGGGCTAGCCTCTGGTGTTTGTTGTCTTTTTCAGTTCCCTAGAATGTTTTGAAATCTCTTAATTCTTTGAGAAATGTTTGTGGTGAGTAGATTATCTTTTCACTGATCACACTCTTTGTTATTTTTATTATTTCTTCCTATAGGGGTCTTGTTCCTCGCCTCCTAGGTGACATCATTTCTTTGTGGCTCTGTAACTCACTGGCCTACCTCGTCAATACCTATGCACTGGACAGTGGGGTAGGTTATGACTTTGGTGAGATGTGCTGGCTTTTTTTTATTCACCCAGCAACTAGGTTAGTTTTAAAGTAAAGTTACAGTTTGCTACATGCCAGAGTGAACATTATAGCTAAATATTATTAGTCACATATTCAAAAATGAATGGAATGACACATACTATTTACTATAGAGAGCTGTATGTAAGAAGTTCCTAAGCTGTGACAGTATACCCAAGAGATTTAGCCCAGTCATAGTTCGGGACTTTTTTTGTGTGTGTGTGTGTGTTGGAGTCTCACTCCGTCACCCAGACTGTAGTGCAGTGGCCTCTCCCAGCCACCGCAGCCTCGCCCTGCTGGGCTCCGGCAATCCTTCTGCCTCAGCCTTCCAAGTAGCTGGAACTATAGGCGCATGCTACCATGCCCGGCTGATTTTTGATTTATTGTAGAGATGAGGTCTCGCCTGCCCAGACAGGTCTCGAACCCGCGGTCTCAGACCATCCACTCACCTCAGCCTCCCAAAGGCGCGGGATTACAGGCTGAGCCATCGAGCCCGGCTTATAGTTCGGGCTTTAAGGAAATCACTTATTTATACCTAATTGGAGAGGACATGATGGAGCAGGACAGCTTTCTGGTGTACCTGGGGCTTTTCCTCTACTCTGGATGTTAAGAGGGCTCCTAGCCAGCCTCGGTGGCTCAGCCTATAATCCCGTG